CGCAAGATCATCGTTGGATACTAACTTATGAGTTTTTATAAGTAAGTACAAGACGGGGCATGTTGGTAAGTCAACTTTTAGTTGAGAGATAACTGATGGTTTTAAGCTAGCAGCCCTTGCCATTTTGGCCCATTCGTGGTTCAGTTTTCGGTATTTTCTTTTAAATTCCTCCTCAGACGATGGTCGATAAAGCGAAGCATCTTCAAGATGCTTTTTCGTTATCTCCACATCCAACTGATGAGGAATTACGACAAACTCTCCACCCTTATCACTAACGGATAGTCTTATGGTTTTCAACCTTATCAGCTCTCGTACCTCTCGCATACCACGTTTTTGCACTAGAGTGAGGTTTGAGCTGTATCTTTTCGCGCGATAGTGATTAAGGACTTTGAGAGTTTCATTCGCAAACATCCGAAAATTANACGTCGAAGGACTCCATCACGCACGCGCTGTTGGGCTGCGCAGTACGTAGACGATCCAGAAACATCTGGGTATTCGTAAGATGGGCTGGAATGTGTTTCAACAACTGGTTAAATATTAGGGTTAAAAACCATGTTATCCTGTCCGTTGGCCCGTCTACGCAGCTGATGATAGGTCTAACCTTAAACAGTGATGGATCGGTAGACGCAAGATCATCGCTGGATACTAACTTATGAGTTTTTATAAGTAAGTACAAGACGGGGCATGTTGGTAAGTCAACTTTTAGTTGAGAGATAACTGATGGTTTTAAGCTAGCAGCCCTTGCCATTTTGGCCCATTCGTGGTTCAGTTTTCGGTATTTTCTTTTAAATTCCTCCTCAGACGATGGTCGATAAAGCGAAGCATCTTCAAGATGCTTTTTCGTTATCTCCACATCCAACTGATGAGGAATTACGACAAACTCTCCACCCTTATCACTAACGGATAGTCTTATGGTTTTCAACCTTATCAGCTCTCGTACCTCTCGCATACCACGTTTTTGCACTAGAGTGAGGTTTGAGCTGTATCTTTTCGCGCGATAGTGATTAAGGACTTTGAGAGTTTCATTCGCAAACATCCGAAAATTAGCATCAACTTCATTATTGGGCTCTTGTTGTCTAAAGAACGCCGGGGGAAATGGTGCTATTGGTAGGGCCCCCACTTGGTGTTGTTGTTGTTCGCACTTATTTAGCACTTCGTCTCTAGCTTTTTTACGGAGTCTATCTTGAAGTTCATGTAAGCCACATGCTACCCTACGCAAGGTTATCTTAGAAATGGGTTCAGATGGTGAGAAACTCGGCCCCAATTCTAATAACGAGCGCGCACCGTCAGGGAGAGTCATGCCTCCTAACACGGTTAGCCTTGAATTTTCTTGCACATTATCTATCCTATTGTGATCTGTTTGATGTTCCTTAGCGATATTTTTGTGCGCTATTAAAGCTGTGTTACGTGATTTACTCAAAAGGTCTTCGAATTTTCTCCGCAAAGCTACTTTAGCATTAGACCTAATAGAGTTGCAAATCAACACTGACCTGCCCACTATTCTCCTCCAGAGGCGGTCCTCCAATTACTGAGCACAAAAGTTTTCCTTCGTCTCGCACTTCTTCCACTTGGCGAACATCTGGTTTTGTCGGCTTCGTAGACAGGTGCGTAGTATTCGCAATTCGATGTCCAATACTCGGTGACGGTCCTCTGGTAGTCCGCATACCTCGTGTAGTCGCCTTCGTTTGATGAAGTTCGGAACGACTCGATGTTTCAGACAGCGGCGGAGAAAGTGTATTGACTGTCGAGCTAAGACGATCTTTTGTCTCAGTGAAAACATTTTGAAGTTCAGAACATTATGAAGCTGTTCTTTCGGCTGATTTCGCCTTTTCCAGGAAAAACCGTCGAAACATCAGTTTTTTCAGTCAATAAAGAACTAGTAAAATCCCGTATTTGATTTTAAGAATATGGTAAATTATTTAATCAGTACTGAAGTGAATAGAAAGCCAGCTTTGGGAATTACATAGAAGAGACTACTCCATCGCACTGATGGCTTGTAAGGTTTCCACATTGTCCTTTAAAATTTAAACATGTTCAGAATTTGAACTCTCAAAAAAGTAACTGCCATGACCGACTTTCTATTAACCTCGTCATTGATCAAGTGATTTTGTTCGTATTTTTGTTGAGCAAACGCGAGGTGTTATTATTCTTTGTTCACGATTAAGCTGACGTTTCGGCGGATTTCGCCTTCCTCAGAGCCTGGAAAGGTCAAGTTGATAGCAATCTACTCGGCCAGACGCCTCCATAACCAAACAAAGAAACCCCAAACCAAGATTTCAATCACTTTGAACACAGCTTTGCACACTCACCGCTTCCTATGAGGTTTCCACTAAGTATGTCACGTAGAGACCAACCGCACAGAAATCACGTGGAAGAGAAATCAGAGACACAACGGGGACGACTTCGAAGTATGTGTCACGATCCTCGCACGCGAATCAAGAACACAGGCGCGAAAAACTCTCGAGGCACTCTGGATTAATTCCAGAAATCCGAAAATGAACCGCAGGGAAGAATGCTTCACGCGTGATATAGGGCAGTATATAAAACTGCTTTTCTGATGTGAGGGGCACATTATACTTCCACGTGATTTCTGTGCGGTTGGTCTCTACGTGACATANTATGTCACGTAGAGACCAACCGCACAGAAATCACGTGGAAGTATAATGTGCCCCTCACATCAGAAAAGCAGTTTTATATACTGCCCTATATCACGCGTGAAGCATTCTTCCCTGCGGTTCATTTTCGGATTTCTGGAATTAATCCAGAGTGCCTCGAGAGTTTTTCGCGCCTGTGTTCTTGATTCGCGTGCGAGGATCGTGACACATACTTCGAAGTCGTCCCCGTTGTGTCTCTGATTTCTCTTCCACGTGATTTCTGTGCGGTTGGTCTCTACGTGACATAGTGGAAACCTCATAGAAAGCGGTGAGTGTGCAAAGCTGTGTTCAAAGTGATTGAAATCTTGGTTTGGGGTTTCTTTGTTTGGTTATGGCGGCGTCTGGCTGAGTAGATTGCAGTTAACTTGACTCTGAAAATGAAATTTCCAGGCTCTGAGGAAGGTGAAACCCGCCGAAGCGCCAGCTTTTTCGTAAAAAAAGAAATAAAATAACACCTCGCGTTTGCTGAACAGAAGTAAAAAGAATTATTCAATCAATGCTGAGGTTAATAGAAAGTCGGACGTGGGAGTTAATATCGTAAGCCTCACATAATGGACTGCGCAGTTTCTCTTTCCAACACATAATGTACGATTTGATATTTGATATTGAAATATTTGATTTCGGCTACAGCTTCCAGCTTAACAGTGTTCAATGTTGACTTGTGCTTACCAGATCATCCCTATTAACGAGTGATCGCTGATGGCAACGTTAGGTAGAAAACAGGCTGAGATAAAGGAAAAGTAAGAGCCTAATTGGTGTAGTGGGCTACGCGTGATTCTCAGGGTAGAGTAATCACGAGTTCGAATCTGGAGTGAGGTCCAAATTTTGCAAATATCTCGGCATCGTTATGGTTGTTTTTCACATCATATCTTGTCGTCGGAAAGCAATATACGGCAAATAAAAACTAGACGATCCTACTCAGTACATAAAGATTCCTCTGAGCTATATAAAACTTTCACTACCATAATACAACTATTTTACTACGATATTAACATCGACGTCAAAAGAGGGCTTAGAGGAGGCGGTACCATCTCGCCAAAATTGTTTACCGTCACATTTGAGAATGTCTTGGAAACACTGGAATGGAACAACGTGAGACTGAAAATCAATTTTCGAAAATTACAGCACCCTCGCTTTGCTGATAACATCTTTCTTATAACACCAAACATTAGCCAGGCAGAACGGATGGTTGCCGTCTTTGGTAAAGCCTGTGAGAAAAATTGGTCTTCCACTAAATCTCATAACGATGTTCATGAGAAACTGATTGGTTATGTACGCTCCAGCGTTCAACAGAATGAATATCTCCGAGTGTTCCAGTTACGTGTGTTTGGATCAGGAAATCAACGTGATTCCGTGGCAGACCTTGGCTTCACGATCCCAAGGAGCCGCAATGGCCCAACCAGCAAGTCTCGAAAAAGAGAGGAGAAATTGGAGATTGTGCTAGCACCAGCAGAATTGGTGAAGACGAGTTGTCCAAGTATCCAAGTACCCACAATTAGAACGATATAGCCCAAGAGGTGAGCTGGATGAAGCGGGAAGCTTGGAAAGGTTTGAGGGGCATCGAGGATGTAGTGAAGGGATCAAAGAACACCCGACTCAATGCCCACCTTTTTGACTTCACAATTCTTCTTTCCTTAACGTATGCGTTGGACGCTCAGTGGAAAAGACGATTCTAGGAGTATCTTATACCACGCAAGTGACGAGGCGGATCCTAAGTTCTGTTCTATATAGACGATCAAAAATCAAAGACGAAGGTCTATGCGCCAAACTATTGAAGACAAGTTGTGTTGGTTGCGTAATGGTCATAGACGAGAACTTATGAACAAGAGCCGTTAGTGACTGGGTTCCTCGGCATGTCAAACGTACAGCAGAACGACCACCGACTCGATGATCAGAGTTCTTCACGAAAATCTTAGAAAAAATAAATTGTGTTCAGCGAATCTGTAAAACAAACACCACGCAACTCTTGCTCGCGATAAGTAAAAATGGAAGATTTACTGGCAGGAGCTGAAGTCACCCGAAGATCAGTGGAACTACAGGTGATACAGGTGTTAAAGGTGATCTTCCGATACACTGTGTACATAGAAGTGTACTTCTGCGAGCACTTCGAGAAGTTTATCTCGTTGCGGATATCAAGGATATTGGAAGAGGTTCAACCAATCTAACTAGCAGGATCTCGACAGGTATTTTACTGCATAGGCCCACACCCAACCCGTGTTCAGGATCACTGAAGTTTGCCTAAGATACCACCTTCCCCAATTCCTGACTTTTGTCGATTATGAAAAAGCGTTTGCTTATGGGAAGCCAAGACGACACCATATTACCAAAGCTGTTTAGTCTGGAACTGCAGTGGATAATGAAGACCCTCGATTGAGCCCATAAACGCATACGTACTGATAGGAAATTCCTATCCAATCTTGGTTTCGCTGACGACATCGTCATTTAACCAGGAAGTACAGGCGAAATAGGCACTATGACAAATGACCTCAGGGAAACTGGGAAAAAGGTTGGACTACGAATATATCAGAAGACCCAATTCATGAGAAACCTATGTTGCGAAGTCGATATGATCAAACTGGATGGTTACCTAATTACAGAGACCATTTCGTGGGCTCAAGTTGGGGGTTCAGTGAATTCGGAGAACAATATGAAGTGTGAATTAAACAGAAGAAGGAAAGCAGCTTTGGGCACATTCGGTCTTCTCAAAGAATCCCCGATTAACTAAAACAACCGAAAATTCGTGCTCCCCTTTTCGATTCCACAACCCCAGCACTCCGTCATGTAGCAGCGCAGATAATTAAACCACGCCAAAAATACGGTGAACCACCCATAGCGCATATGAAAGATGTCTTTTGAGATATAATTGGCACACACAACGTCATGCCGGAATATAAATCTCTGATTTTCAAATTTTGTCCCATTTTTAAGAATCAGGCGAGCACAAACCCTTAAACCCGACACCATGCTCGGACCAAACCACCACCATGGACGACAATCGCGGGGAAGGAGACGAATGGAAAATGTGCTGTGGCTCGCACAACTCGCCATGATATGTCGTCCAAGTACCCAAATAGGTACTAAGCACGGAAGGATTAATGAAGGCCAGTTAACGGTGCCCGCCTAGATCGACCGTACGCCGACCCACTAAGCCTCTCGCATCTACATGATCAAGAATTTGGTAGCAGAGTTGTTTGGTAAGACCCATTCTCTATAGTCCAACTGGGAACGGTTTACCTAAGTATTCCAGAAAGAAACGAATTGATCAACATTTATTGACATTAATGAGGAAGGTGAATCTTTAAAAGCGGTTGATCCCAGACTCTAGCAGTTAAAACACCATGGACCATGGTTTTATTGATACGAGGGAACAAATGAGTTAAGTGTTAGCATGAACACATTAGATATGAAGACGGGTATCATAAAAAAGTAGAAAAAAGAAGAAATTGGACAAAAAAATGACTAGTTATGTTATACTTGGGAAGAGGGAGCTTACTAAGGCATGTTACTTACAATCGGTCTAACCCTAGGGATTATCTTCAGGAAAGGTTGCGCATAGAATTTCAAGTGCAATTCAATTTTTGAGTGCCAAAGATACGCCAGTAAAGTCTTGTTCGACATGTTGTGTAATGATTTGTGGAATTTTCGCTCAATCTTCTCACTGCTTATCACGGGGTTTTCCACGATTGTCGTCCTGCACTTATGCTTCAATCCAACCTGGTTTTTTTTCACGAAATGCGAATCCATGTAACGAAACCAATTTTTGGGCGCTGGTGATTTCAGGGATTCCAAGCGATGACTCTGATATTCAATTCCACTTCCTCATCTTGAGATAAAAAATTTTTCCTACTTAAGCCACAAATTCCCCGATTTCAGACTTCATGGAACTTCTAAACAAATTGGTGTTGAACCAGAGTTTTCAAATTCTTGAGCAGTTCTCCTCTCGACGGAAGACGACAGTTTTCTTTTCCTTTCAACTACTACAAAACTATACTCGAAAATTTCAAATGCTTTGGAAGCCACTTTGACGACTGCTTCGTTTATTCTTAATCCATGATATCCCGACATGTAATCACTTTACGTTGTTTTTTATCCGATTGAATTTTCTACAGTTAATTTTCGACTTTAGCTTTTATAGAATATTTCTCACTTCATTACTTTCTGGATAACTCGAAATTTAAACTGTGCTGTTCTAGATACTCCATTTCACAAAATCTTATTGTACATAGATCCACTTAATATATTTCTTATTTTATTTGACCCGTCTTCACGTCTACTGTGCGCATCCCAGCACTTCTCATATTCGATTCGTCTCCTCGCATCCATTGCCCACGAAGATTTTCCAACTTTACGTGTGACTTCTGTTGCTGCTTGAGCATTTTCATTTCATCTTGAATATCGTAGAATTCTGTTCGAACGGTTCTTTTTGGAGTCCTGAGATAGCCGGGCTGGAGTATTCCCAATTGAACTACAGAGAGTGATTTTATCCCGGACAAATCCGGTACCAACTTCCCTATCCGCAAGGATGAGAAACTTGATTGGCTTGGAGCGGAATCGAACTAACACCAAGTTCGTGATGATAGGCATCACTACCACTGTGCTACCTGCCCCTGCTTAATATATTCTGTAGTGTGATCTCGTAGTAATCAGTAAATGTTTTGAAAACATTTCCGCACAGTTTTATTCAATGTTAAAGTTATGTACATAATCAACAACAATACCTATGTTTCAAATTTTTTCCAATTCAGATCAAAAAATGAAAGATTGTGAGCAGATAAGTGAGGAAAGGACAGAAATGAGATTGATTATGAAGAAATCGTCAATGGTTTCGGTGGAGATGGCAGTGTTAAATCAACAGATCGATTCACGTTCTATCACAGATTATCGAAGAGGAAAACTCGTCCCGGACAGTGTATCCGCAGTACGAATTGTCAGAAGTCATAGTGTGACGATCTCGGTGGTGTCGAAAGTGAGTAGCGCATAAATGTCTCCGATGCGAAATCGCCCATTTCCACTAGGGATCGTGGACCATCCAGAACTGGAATTTTATCACCTTATTTATATATTTTCTTATTTACCCGTAAGTGAGGAGAAAACGTAAACTATTATTTGGATTTCATAACGTTTAACTTTCTACTTACTGGTTTTTAGGTTTTTTTCTTCTCCTATGGTAAGATATTATGTGAAACACAATCACAATGATGCTGAGATTTCTTCAAAGCACCGATGCCACGTCAGATTTGAATCCTTGATTGCTCTTTTGGGAAGGCTCATGTGTACCCAATGCATCCAAGGCCAAGGCCCTGCATTGCCTTTCTCTCGGCCAGTTTTTTTTTTGTTTATTTATTTTTCGCTGCTGATAACCCTATTGATGTTGGGCATTCTCATGATTTTCGTATATTTATACACATAAAACGAATTTGGATGTTCGAAGTTTTCATACAAATTTTCGAAATACCACCTTTAAAGTGAAAATATATTTTTTTCAATACACAAAATCCATCATGATCTTCTTGTGCACATCCGCGAAGAGGATTCATGAAGAAAAAGTGTTGGATCTATGTGAGACCGATTTCAAACACAAACTTTCCTTGCAATCACTTCATTCTCATAGGAGATCATTTCTTTGTTTTGTAGTAATATCTACATCAATCATTCTCATTTATAGTTCGGAGCTATAAGGGTGGATTTTCATCCCATACTATAAACCTTTGTGGTCTAGTCCTAACCTAGAGAATTAGCTTTACATTCATATCACAAGAAAATAGTAGTGTATTCGAGAAAACCACAACTTGTTTTGAGGAGCCATGTGAACCATATCTTAACGCTGTGTTTACACTTGCAAATGTTCGGCTAGACTTTACCAATTTTCGGTTACTATACTTTCTTCCCATAGCACTTTTCCCTTTCGGCTTCAGGTGTAGCAAAAATTCTTCATTCTATCGCGTTCTTTGATAACCATTTAAGGAGCGGGATCAAATCGTCGTCGTCGTTGTCGTTGTCATGGTCGTCATCACCATCATCATCATCATCATCATCACCATCGTTTTCGTCGTCGTAGTTATCACGCTTCATCACTTGTAAAAATAATGACAAACATTCACAACGAGTGAGGGATTGGTTGCCACTGCCTGATCAAGCAGATGTTCATATGGTACAATATGATGACTTCAGCCGACTGGAGAATACCTCATTCAACCCACTACACGCTCGATGGTAGTCAGAGAGTTTGAGAACGAAGTCAGAACCTTTTCATGACTTAGAAACCTCCAAAATTAATTTCCATTTCTGGAATCATACAAATTCGTCCAAATACCATTACTAACTACGCCTTCCGGGAATCGAGCTGCCATCAGAAATAATTAGACATGTGTGTTCCACCATATACTCCTGTCCGTTTCCCCAACCATTCTACTTCATATCCGAGATTTAGTGCCCGTTTCTAAAATCGCTGCCCTTTCTCTGAAAATCTTTACTGCTATGCCGAGATCTCTTACGCAATTATCATAAAGTCCAGTAATAAACTTTACGAATAACCGTCTGTGTCACAAACAACAGACACTCGCGTGAACTAACGCATTAAGCACGAAGCGCAAATCACCGACCGGCAATAAAACGAATGGCACCGGAGAAGCAGAACGATTGTAAAATAAAAACAACGAGAAAAAAGAACGGCAAGGAAGAATAGGCCGGTAGGAGCCACGCAGAAATACTATCGACGGCAGAAACCCAAAACGAATGAAACCTTACTGTTCTCACAGAAATTCACTTGTTAAATGGAAAGAGAAATAGTTTAAAAGCCGATAGAAGTCGTAATAAAAGTCTCTGATAGTATTTCTGATATGTCTTCCCATGTGTGGAAAATTTCGTAGGACAATATTTCATACTCAAACAGATTGATATGACTTTTGGATATGCACTTGGATAATGACTACATAGGTTAAAAACCAATATTCTCTTACTTGGATTGCACTTAGCTATTAGTTGACTACGTTCAATAGAGTACGGTACACGCTTGTGTTTTCGTCGACCGCCACAGAACTGATGAAGAATGCAAGCAATCAACAACAGAATTAACGCCAACGATGCCGACAGAATCGTACACACTAACGCTTTTTCCTTGTTTTCTGAAAAAAGCCAAACATATAAGTTAATCACAAAGTTTAGTAGACGACAATCACATGATTTGTAGTGCCACAACAATAGAATACTTTCGGAAATCGTTTTTTTTTTAAATAGTCAGTGATTCCTTATAAGAGTGGTGTACCAACTTCCCCTTTAGTAGTACTTCTTAGCGTTAAGTTAATTCAACAAGAGATGACTAAATAGTAGATTAACGGTTAACGAAAGCTTCGTCGTTGAGCGTCAGCCGTCACAATCCGTCATTCATCCGGCTCCATTCGTGGCATTTTAGAAGAAGCCAACAATATTGAAAGACGAAAAGAAATGTTTCACCTTAAACCGTACTTTTTCTGAACCCGGGACTCAAAAGTATTCTGACTTTTGTGTGGGCAGAGGAGAAAGTTACTCTCAGCTACATCCAGAAATCTGATTTTTATTTAAGTTCGGAATTTTCTACAAAGTAGAAGTGAATTATAAGAGGAAGATATCCAAGGAAGTAGCTGACCCTTATAGAGAAGAAAATTTTGATTTTTATATACGTAGACTCACGAACGATACGGGAAAGCAGATAGTTCTTAAGAACTAGCAAGAATTTCACTGACGTTTAATGAATGTGACGACAAGCATGATGTCGTGAGCAATTCCGATCAGATTCTTATCCACATGTGCCGTTTGTTCCGTTCGTTCATCTGATTGAAGATCCAAGTTATTGTCTTGACTCGAAGAAAAACTATAGCGATCTTCTGTCACATAACCAGCTGAAAAACGAGGCAATAGTAATGAAATCCTGGAAGCTAGACTCTATGACATCAATTAGTTCGTGATCTTATTTTCTTTCGAGGAGGAAAAGAGAAGGAAAGGAGAGAATTTCTCAGACATATTTTCCAGCAAAATCTGTCGCCAATCCAAGTTTGCAAGTTCTTCATAATGATTATTCATTTTATGAAAGAACATGAAGCATTGATTTAACTCATGACAGGTGTGCGCGATTTAGCGTTGTTCTTCGAATGGAATACAAGGAACTTTTTGTCGGCTGCGAAGTTTTCAGTCTTTTAACAGTAAAAAACAAATTTTCGATAGCTAAGCGGATTACGGATTGTGGATGAGAAAGACTTGCAGAAAAGACTTTGCTGCATCGTACTATGGGACGGATATTATGCATGCTGTTATTAACAGTGTATTACTATGGTTCACTGCGCAATTACAATGGCTTAAGTGCATGGGAATATTTTGCACTCTATTTTTGGTCTATTTCGCTTGTTTTTATATCCATGCAATCCAATCTATGACCATGGTGATTCGAATAAAATAGTAGTTAATTATTTTTCAATAAAAGGTTTTTCATAAAACAGTCAACTGTAAAAGGATAAAGGGTAAAGCTATCGGAGTTGATCAATCCCTAAGGGATGCGACATGCATTCGACTTCACTAAGCATCGTCTGGAGGTGAATGAATGCATATCTGGCCTTTACGATAGACTGACGATGGCCTACCGATGTATCGAACCAGTACTGTTATTGTCCCAGACAAGTCTGGTACCAATTTGCCGGCCCCGGAGGCATGGAGAGCTTGGTGAGCCATGAGCGCGGGGATGGATACCACGTGTGTGTTGCAGGGCGCCTCCGAGCACTACGCCACACGCGCCCATCGGTTAACTGTAGAAAATGCATTTTCAGCTTGCACCCCTTATTATGATCTGCTTTCGAGTAGCGATCGAGTGAATATACATAGTACGGCAAAGAAATTTCTGGAACGGCCTAAACTGAAGGCGCACACTATAGTGTTCACACCTAGCATTATGGGTTAACGTAATCATTCAGGAAGCGAATGAAGTAGAGTCGTTAGAACAAGAAATAAGTATCGCACGAAGCAAGTGGATTCATCTAATCGTTTTGTTCTTTAAAAAAAAACAAAGGTTGTATCTTAAAGCTAACTTAAAAACAGAATTTCGAAAATATCCATATTAACATTTTATAAAAGAAGACCTGTGAAAAGACATGAGACCTGGGGTATACGTTCATCTCTCAGATTCGAGGAAAACCCCTATGTTTAAGTAGAATTTCCCTAGTTATTGGATAGTTCGTGATGGACGAAAGCTCGGTGTATGAAACACTCTTGGGAAATCTAGAGAAGATAGGAGCGACCATGCACTCAGACATTCAATTACTTAACCTATAATTACCCTAATCACTCAACTGCGGCAAGATTTTCACTACTGAAGAATGGAAGTCTCAGGCGAGTTAAATAAGAGAAATTTCTTCAGTATTAAACCAACCGTCGTTGTTGAACATTGGCTGTGGCCTTGTCGGAATCGTTTGAGATGCTGATGGCTTCGCATCAGATTCAATATGCTTTTCAGTGAGTCTCTCCCATTTATCATCCACAGAAACGCCGACAGTTGAAGCCGCTTGCGTCTCCTGAAATTGAGCCGGTAACTTATTCAATTATGATCACTTTTTAAACTATTGTGGTTGGAAAAAGACCTTTATGAATTTATGCATCGATTCCAAATCGCCTTTGATTGCATCCTCACTGAAGACTTCCTCATTCACTAAAAAAAATTCCTTAGCAGTGCATCGGTTTCAGTTGTGCACTTTTCAGCCACCGAAATGGAGGAAACGAGTGAATAAAGTGTAACGAAGATATTTGGTCGTTCAGAAATAAATGATCATTTTAAAATATCTGTTGTTTTGATGCATTCTTACCAACAAAGTGTTCTTTGCACCTTGCAGTATTATAGTCATTAGGGAGCTGACTTTACGCTCTTTCTAACCTTTATTTACATTTTGTCAATAGTGTAATTTTTTTTGTCAATTTCGAGCTTTGAAATTTTAGATGTCAAAAACGGATTTTCGTCAAATTTTATTTTTTAAGTTCAAAGTCGATCGTAGTGTAGCAGAGACGGCTGTAAACATGAATGAAGCTTGGGGTGAAGGTGGTGTTGATGAATCAACAGTGCGATAATGTTACCTCTTTTATTTACTGCCTTTTTCTTCTTAATGGCAGGTTATGTTGCGACATATAACTCGTATGAAATGCTAAGATATTTGCAAAACTCCAGGCCACAGGTGTATGCAGTGGAGAACGAACACGCGCTGTTGTCCTTACCGGGGAGCAGCGCACTTCACCACTACACCATCCGGGTCCTTCGCTTCGCGTGTATCTCAGCTACTTCTATCGATCTTTTTTGCCATCAGCAATCACCCGTCAACGGGGTTGATCTGGGGAGCCAATATCGGCATTGAACCCAGTTAAGCTGAGGCTTAGTTATAATCACAATAATATAATCGGCAAAAAAGATAGATAGAAGTAGCTGAGATACACGCAAAGCGAAGGACCCGGATGGTGTAGTGGTGAAGTGCGCTGCTCCCCGGTAAGCACAACAGCGCGTGTTCGTTCTACACTGCATACACCCGTGGTCCAGAGTTTTGCAAATATCTCAGCATTTCATACGAGTGCGATAATGGTTGCGGAAATTCCCATCTGGTGAATTCGACCTCGACGATAAAGAAGGCCGCGGACGTCCCAGTGAACTCGACGACGACAAATTGAAGGAACTAGAGGAAGCAAACACGCGAACAACTGTTCGAGATCATGCAGAACAGCTTGGCGTAAGCACAGAAATAATTTCCAATCACTTGAATCGCATAGGAAAGACAAAAAAACTCAAGACAAGTGGGTGCCGTACGATTTAAACGATAGTCAAAAAGACAGCCGTTTTGAAGTGTCATCTGTTCTTATTCGGCGCAACAGAAACGGTCCTTTTTTTGAACGAACTGTGACATGCGATAAGAACTGGGATGGATTGCCATAAGGCTGCACAGCACTTCACAAAGCCGAAATTGCACCAAAAGGAAGGTCACGGCGACTGTTTGGTGGTATGCAGCCTGCTGATTCCCCACACGTTTTTGAATCCGGGCGAAACGATTATGGCTGAGACGTATTGCCAACAAACCGACAAATTGCACCGTAAACTCCAACGACAGCGACCGGCACTAGTCAACAATAAAGAACCAATTCTTCTTCACGATAACACCCGGCCTTACATTGCTGAACCATCGTTGAAGAAGTTGAACGAGTTGGCCTACCAAACCTTGCTTCATCCGTATCCGCCATATTTATCAGACCTCTAGCCTACCGAATATCACTTCTTCAAGCACCTTGACAGCTTCCAGTGCGAGAAATGCTTCACCAACCACGAAGACGCAAAAATGTCTTCAAGGAATTCATCGTTTTCAGAACCCCAGAACTTTTGAGAACTGGAAAATTGTTTCTTCTTGTTTCTCCTTGGCAAAATGTCTTTTTTAAATTCGAGCGGTTTTTATTTTGATTAATAAAGTTTTGCTCGAAGCCAGTTATGACATTTTATACAATATAGTTAAAAACGCTCATTTATTTCTGAACAACTTAATAATTTCTCTTAATAGTGAGTAGGCCTTGTTGAAAAGGGGTCCTTACAGGATGTTTAAGTGAGAAGAGGTTCATTTCACAATAACAAAGTCTCCGTCACCCAAGCTAAAAAGAAGTTCGATCCTTATATTGTCATCTGGGAGCCTAGTTAAGATCAAACCTATACAAGAAATTATTATCATCCCGAAAGCAACTGACCAGCAGGATAACAAATTAATTTCCAAGCTAAAGATGTAAAAATTTCTGAACATTTTAAAGGCCTGAAGGTGCTCTACCATTGTTACTTTTGGATTCCGAACAGCAGCATTCTTAGCAAGTTATCAGTAAAAGAAAAAATGTACAAAGACTAGTAAGATTTGAAAAGGTTATTCATTAAATTAATAATTAGTAAGAATATTACGTTACCGCACATGAAGAGGATACTGAGATATGATGGCACATCTGGTGGACAAGGTGAGCCGAACATCTCATCTGTTACCGGTACACTACAACCGGGTTGAGCATGACATTTCGACAACAGTGGCGAAAGAACATCACGTGTACATTCTGAAACTATTCGAATATTCGACCCAGGGCACTCGAATTCGATCGAAAGCCGAATATTTGAAGGGAATTTGAAATTTACCGAAATGACCTTTTTAGTTGCTCTCGACGCACTCGTGCGATTAGAGAGCTCATCCAAACCGCAAACTAATAACGACCCTTACGTGGATAATACTTTTAACTTTGGAAAAAAATTTCAAAAAGCAGTATCGCCTCTGTTAACACCACTACTATGATTTTTATTAGTAATGTTATTATTATACTATTGTCGCCGTCATTAATCCAGACAATGAAGAGTGTTCACAGGTAGCTACTATTCTGCAAGAGCTGTTTACTTGTATAGCTCTAGATAAATTTATTGTATAACGTTTAATTCCTGCCAGCGGATTACTCATATACTTTAGCTCTGCATTTGCGCAAATTATCGTGGTCACCGTTCTGTTACCGACTACGTACTAGACGTTCCAGTTTACGATTATGCTAATGAGTAGTAAACTCTTTCAACGCCAAGGGAACGCAGCGAGCCTCGCATCGCACCGGCATCAGGAAGTTAATATGGAGTTGTTTGAGATAAAATCTATTCTCCCGTTGATAAACTAACATGAAGTTGATAAGGAACTTTATTTGGCTGACGTTTCGCTGCCCTTCCCTTCCGTAGAACCGGATTGACCTATGTCCATCACTTTATCAATCTCTTGTTAGCTTACCAATGAAAGAACACATGTTGATTAGTCATGCCGATTTAAAAGGAAGATCGATTTGGGAAATATTGGCCGAGATCAGCTCACTCTCTGCAATCCGTGTGTGGACGCTCTAGCCCGACCGTACCAGGAGGGAGAATCGACTTGACCAGCGCACTCAACTACGTTCATAATTAAAACAACTCTCCTGAAGTAACAGCCGAACCTACATTCGAAAAGTTCGAAGACTTGCATGATGATGAGAGAAAACGAATCGCTCTAGATGTGAAGGCGGATCATGTAAGAAAAAACGAAATAAGTAAAAAAACGGAAAGATTAGATCATTGAATTGCGAATAAAGGCCACCACCATCCGCTTCCATAAAATTTACGTTCAAGTTTCTAACAAACAAAACCATGTGATTAATTTAGTCACCCATCTCCCTATATTTATCGTCCTTTCTAAAAACCCAAATATTTTTCAACAATATCTCAAGAGACTTTTGTAATACTCCACCTTCGTATGTTTCTTGAAACTCATTCTCTTCATGAGCTGTATATAAATACCAACTTTCGTTAGCAGGTTGACGTATACGACGACAAGGAACTTGTTCGTGTGTGACCGTATTTTAAGCATCATCTCACCTTTGGTGAAATGAACAGGAGCAGTACAATGAGCGGCTTGAGTGCGGGCACTTCGACCGTAGTTTGCTGAGTAAATGGCTAATCGTCGCCCTTCACGACATTCCAAGTGCATCTCGGCTCCTTCGCAAAACGACTCACCATCGAAGAGAACTAAATAAATTTTGGTAGCCATCATTTCCTATCTTTACTTCCGATGAAAAATAAAAGGAGACTAGGGGCTCTTCTCAATTGACGAAGCTTCAGGTTGTGGTAATGACGCTTATCAATCCACTGTACCCGATACTTACCGATGCCCTTCGTATTTATTTTTATTTTTGTTTTCCTTGGAATAAACTTTGCTTATCTTCAGCCCTCTCCCCACCACCTCTTTTCCTCCTTCAGCTTTTCCAATTTGGTTGGCACTTACCTCGATAATCCGGCTGGCTGTGCATCGACTTTAATTAGTCCGACTGCCGAAGCTGACATGATTCCCAATTAATCCAAGTCAATTAGAAAATCCTATTATAAATTTACGTTGGCCAATTTTAGTCTAACGATGGATAGAATCCGACCCTGAGGCGACATACACGCGAATTTCCCCTTTCATCGCTTTCGGCTCATTCAGTTGCAAAAGCAATTATCGACCAGGAATGATGAAGGAGGACCCAAGAGATTTCCGAGTTTAGATGAGCAACCTCACCGTTGTCGCGTATCTCTCACCTGGACGACATTTGTAGCTCATTTGAAGGTATTTTGATGTTGTTGGACATGGATCGTCTTCAAACGCGGTCGTGTCAACATATATGGTACACTTACGCTTCTTATCGCATAATTCGGAGAGACGCTGAAAGGAAGCACGATTTATAAAAGAAAGCAGTTTTGCTTTTGTCTTCGCCTGAGAATTGACTAAACATTATAGTAACTCGACTTGATTACTCGACTATCTTCATCGATGGCAGAGGTTTGTAATCTTACGACAAGGTTTCGTTCATGACCACTGCTGCGATCAAAATTTGAAACAAAGAAACGTATGAACGTATGAAACGTAGTTCAACGTATGAAAAAGTCCTAAACTGGTGAGGGAAATCATTTTTGCAAATCGGAATCACCTAATAAAATCTTATTGATCACTGAATTCAACATTCTGCGTTACTTTCCTAAGAAATACCTTTCCGGTATCCATTGACGTTACCTCAGCCATTCTCTTCGAAAGCTTTAGGCTAGTAATTAGTGACAAAGTGGGTCCATAAACCAAAAAACCACTAAAAGAATATCAAAAACAGTGAAATATAATCACAGTGATGATGAGATATCCGCAAAACCCCGGACCACAGGTGTCTGCGGTGGGGAGCAAACACGCTACTAACCTTTCCGTGGCTAATGCTTTCACCACCACTCCATGACGGTCCTTCTCTTCACATTCCTCTCAGCCATGTTTTAACCTATTGGTGTTGAAGCTATTGCTTTACTGCACCTCAAAAATTCGGTGTTTTTTGGAGTTTTTACGGCTTGAAGCTCGTTTTTAAGCGATTTCCTTCCGCGGGACCCCCCCTCCTTCCACTCCCTACGCCCCAGGTGGTGGTGAACACTTCAGCCTCGGAAAGGCTAATAATGGGCTCGATCTCCACCGCAGACACCTGCAGTCCGCACTTGTGCAAATATCTCAGCTTGATTGTAGTTATATTTCACATCAAAGCTTACAATGAAAAAAGCATGGACAGTAAATAAGTAGTGCTTACATCAGAAACAGTAGCATCACCACCTTAATGCGTATGAATCGTTTCCCTGAGCTAGAAGAGAAATAAAGCTAGTGATGTACAGACAACAGATTCGTCTTTAATAAAGATAAAAAAATATCTCATTTTTTGTGACTTTTATAGATGAGCTCCGACTTCAAGAGCCGATAACACTCGACGGTAAAAATAGGAGTGAAAGAATAAAGGATGAAGCTATCGGTGTTGATCGTTTACAGTGCTGCCCTTCTCCCAGACAAGCTTGAAACAAATTTTCCGACCTCAGAAGGATGGGAGGCTTAGTGAACCTGGGTGTAGGATCAAACCAAGGACCACGTGTGAATTTCACGGCACAATTAACCACTGCGCTACATGCGCCATATGAATTTATAGCAATCGACGGTTATTTATCTGAAGGCAAGCAACTTAAAAACTGTTTTGTATTGTCCGTTTCCAACAATAACTGTCTAGATTTCAATTCGATTCGAAATTTACTGATGCTGCCAACTAGACAGTCGAGAAAAGTGTAGAAAGTAAGCGCCGTGCTTATTAGCGCCTTAATTCGAACCGCGCACTACACGCCACTGCTGGCTTTAGGCGAATTATTGCTTTCGATTCGTTTTCACGCAGCCTGGTTATCTCAGGACTCCAGGGAGAACTGCTTGACCAGCACTCTACGACATTCAAGATTAAAGGAAAATCCTCAAATATCAACCGAAGCCATATGTGGAAGTAAGGAGACATTCGTGGATGATGGATGCGAGGAAACGAATCGAATGTGAGAAGTGCTGGGATGCGCACAGTAATCGTAAAGAGGGGTCATATAAAATAAAAAAAAATCCGAAAACTTCCTTGGTTGTGAGTGCGAATGGATTCTAGAAAAGATTTTGTTCCACCGTTCTATTTGTATGAACGATATTTGTTGTTCTAGTTATACAATGGCCCACCATCCAAACATATTACTGCTATCATTTGAAAATGTTTTGCAACTTACTAGTTCCTACTTCAGTATTTTTTATGCTAGCACACTCTATAGGATAACTATCATTCACTACAGCAGTTGAAATAGTCTAATTTTTTCATTTTATACGACCCGTCTTCACGTCTACTGCGCGGCTCCCAGCACTTCTCACATTCAATCCATTTCTTCGCATCCATTGTCCACGAAGATCTTCCAAGTTTTTACGTGTGGCTTCGGTTGCTGCTTGACGATTTTCATTTCACTTTGAGCATTGTCTCATACTTTTGCGTGTATGTATTTACATCACATTCATGTCATCAATACATCTCACTTCTCTACACGACCTCTCTTCATATCCGTCCTGCGCATTAAGAGCACTTCTTGCACTCGATTCGCTTCCTTTCATCCGCCATCCACGAAGGTGTTCAAAATTTCCGCATTCGGATGCTGCTTGAGCACTGTCGTCTTCATTATGAATGTCGTTGAATGCAGATCGAGCCGATTCTTCCTGGAGACCTGACATAGTCTTGATGAAGCAATACACTTGGTTCGTAAGGATCCATTTCCTCTTTGACGATTCTGGTACGGTTTTACCTATCCGAGAGGAATTAGAGGCTTCGAAAGTTCCGCGTAGAGTCGAACCATCACCGTGTTCCTAATGAACAGCATCACAACCACTGCGCTAATAGCTCCCTACGTTTTAATTCAAGAAATGGAAGAAAGAGAAAGAAAGCTAAAATTTTTCTCCTAATTCGTATGAAATATCGATTTTTCACAACGGCGCTCCTAAACACAGTGTGCCTACGATAATGCAAACTGCTTGGTTTCCTTTTTGTTTTGCAGGATTTGTTCACAAAAAATGTAGCATAACGTATCTTTCAGCTACACGAGTACATATTACTTTTGTACTAAATATTCTTATGGGAGGCAAATGTAGGTTTATGAGCGGATTTTGTCGTACTACGGCCGCTGTTCATCCTTGAATTGGTCGATGGACTATGTGAATCCGCTTTGTCGGCACATTAAGCAATCACCTTCAGTGAATGCACGCTTGATGAAACATAAAAAGAGAAGCGTATAACTGGTCAAATGCACAGAAAATTACACCACCAGCGCACTTACAGGATTTCGTACTAGGATCACTCACCCATTACTGGTTACGACCAGCTTTGATAATGCAAAATTTTCGATATTCTGGCGCGAAAATCGATCAGTAGAGAGATGAACCACAGATACTCGTTAAGATTAAAATATGATCAGCTTATACATAATAAAGTTGGACAAATGCAAATTGTTATTATGGGAAATTGCGAAAAAACTGCAACGATCCTGAAATTTCGAAACTTGGACCCTAACCCACATTCGAACCCAATCTGGAGGGTCACGTGCTACCCTCTGCACCACCTGTGATGTACCCTTGGTTTGCCTTTCTCTCAGCCAGTTTTTTTACCGACGCTTCCATCAATTATCTCCAGCCAACGGTATTGATTTAAGGAGCTCAAATCGGCATTTAACCTGCTGAAACCGAGGTTGTAGTCGAAATCACAATGTCTAACTTTTCGGAAAGCTAAACATTATGAGAAAACCATCGATGAGCATTATGAGTGTGGTCACTGTCTTCAGAGAGTATGAAAATGTTACACTAAAATTTTATGATATTATGTGAACTATTTGTAATATTTCAACGAAAAGTGTTGGTTTTTAAGCAAAATAGCAACACGGACCTTTGTGCTTTCAAAAAGTGATAAGAGATAAAGGACAAGTCTTCTCGCGTTCATCAATCTCAGAAAGGCGCAAAATTTATTCCACATAATCAAGTATGGCTAAAGGTGCATGTCCGGCCTGTACATGACTTACGGTGGCCTATGAATGAATCAGGTTCTTCTTCTTGTTCGAGATAGAAACCAACGACGACGTGTTTGTTGTAGGGCGCACTGCGCCAAACGCGTCCATAGAAGAATGAAACAATAGAAGAAACAGAAAAATCTTAATTTGAAAGCGTCTCCTTCGTCTATCAGATTTATGAAAAAACAGTGAACGCTACTGGACAGTCGATACTTACCGATTTTGCCTGGATTACATCACAGGTAGCATCGTAGCCTTTTCGACCTGGAATTCTTCCAGGGCATAATTGTGATTCGGGAACGACTCTGCCGTAAAACCTAAAATTGGTCTGCGTTCATCAAATTATAGTAGTTTAACTTTTTTGTCGGCTTTAGTGGCTTTTAGTTCTTTCTATCGATTTTCTTCTCTTTACTTCTCGTTTTTTATTGTTCTATGTTTTTTTTCCTTATCATTGACACGATTTATAATTTCCTAAGCTACGCAGGTTTAACACTCCCTCTGCTTTATTTTTCTCCATCGTTGTCTTCTCTTTTTTTCCGAACAACGATTTCTGAGTGAAGAGGAAAAATTGAAATTTCCAAAAACGGAACTAAAGTGCTTTCTCGATTTGACAGGTGTGCATCAACGTTGAGAAAATTGGTCTTGCACTTGACTGTCGTAAATTTACGACGACGGTCGAAACCCATAAAACAACAGGTCATCTTCTCACAAGGTTAGAGCTCGTTTAAGAAAAATCTCCATAATGTGTCGTTTAATCGTCCAGGTTTAATGACGTTCGGGTTGTCACAAGACGCTCAATTTCTACTGAATAACTCGTCTGTTAGGGCCAAATCGTCCACTTTTTCACTTAAGAAGCTCGGAACTCCAAAGTTTTTGTATTGAAGCTGTAATTCATATATTTTCCGCGCTAAAACCGCAGAAAGAAGTGGAATTATCAGAAATAGCAAACGTACCCGGTTTCGATGATTATGTGAGTGTTTCGTGGGCAGTGAAGGGTAACTTTCTCACCGTCACAGGCTTGAACTCGATGGGATCGAAGTGATGGATCCATCATACCTTAAGAAAACTATGTGTATCTTTATTGTCAAGAAAATGAAAGAAAGACAACATAAAAAAGACTACTGCTCTAACGAAATCGCTAATCGACTATCATTCTACCCGACAAATGATTTCGTTGGCCGATTAGAGAAAAGCGTGACAAAACATCCATTATTCTCCACAAAATTAAACAGCTCACTAAAATGATTTTGGGAACTGAGCGATTTTTTCTGGATCGAGACGGCTCCGTTTGAGATTCTCCGAATTTTTTCGACAAACTTTCATCATGAAAAATTCAGAAAGGTCTGCATAGTAGCAATCTATGGTTTAAATTGGCTGCTAAAATATTGTAGAGATCAAAATTTCAACAAATTTCTAGCGAATCTCTGAGGATTTATCACGGATATTAGTTATGTAGTCATATCACCGCTTCCAAGGTCTCCCAACGATTTACCACCTCATCCTGGCTGGGAGGTGTTCCTGGGTGTCCCGCTGGGATGTAATGCGAGGGTGTTCATCCCCATGACAGGGTCTCCCAAGATGAGAAGGAGTCCGGCGTTTCCATCAGAAAGCTCAACTAAGGGTAAACCAATACTGGGATCTGTCATCTTCCTGGTACCAAAGTCACATGGTGGCAAATCTCCCTCTGATCCACAAGGCTGGCAATTGCCTGTGGTGGAACGACCTGGGGCAGACTTTGCCTTGGCTGATCTCGGGACTCCAGGGAACCACAATGGCTAAACCAGCAAAACTCGGCGATGGAGATTGTGATGGGGCCCGCAGAACCAGACAGGAGGGCCCATTAAAGTGCCCAAGTAGGTTAGTACCAGCGTTACGTTCTTACGCGTTACTTCTTCCTGCTATCACACATAGACGCATGCATTGAGATATACCTACGTGTATATGAACATATGCTCACGTATGTACACCGACGTAAACACGATAGACGTGGACAGAGAAAAGCGCCGTTAGTGAAAGAATTAACGACGAATGGCCAGCTCTCACCAGGTATGTCGATGGACCAACACATGGTTGTATTTACCGTTTAATTATGGAAACGGTTCTATAAGGTAACATTTGCATGTTGTTGTTCGACGAACTGCTGTTGATCAAGTGCCGCTGTACTACAAAATGCTCCCGCTTTAAGAACATCAACTTATTGAAAGTATAAGCCCAATGTGTTTTCAAAAGTGGAACCACGTTCAAATCTTGATGAAGAAATCTCATCAAGAGGATTTTCTCATGTATTTAATTCAAAAAAGTAAGCGAAGAAGCTTATGTTCGATGTTTTCACTGTGTTCATTAGCACAGTAAACCAAGTAGCTAAGCAAACCATTAAGAAACACTTTTCATATTTATTGCAGAATATTAAATAAGCATATAAGCAGAGCTATTTTGAAGGATCCAATTTGATTCCAGGAATCATTCTTACCCAATGCAAAAGTAAAGAACCAAGTGTCTAAATTAAAAGGAAACGAATACGTGAACGACAACGACTGTCTGTTCCTTAGAGTTTTTGCCAAATACGTCAGAACACTCCATTCTTATCGATTTTCCTCAGCACATTGCTTTCTTCAGAGACAAATGTATACAATCTAATCTTTACCATACTCTTCTGTATTTAGACTCCAAAACACCCTTATGCGGCGACATGACCTCTATCGGAGTCACACGACGCGAAGATGAAATGCGATCACCAGTAGTCCCGTTGATCATCGAGTGACTCGAGCGGGCGCCAGTAAATCTTCCATTTTCCCTGCTGCTTGCAAGAGTAGTCCAGTGGGTTCTGCACTCGCTCTAAAGACACGTTGAGCATCATACCTTTTCTATAGGGATTTTGTGAAGAACTCTGACCATCGGGTCGGTGGTCTTCCTGCAGTACGTTTGACATTCCAAGAAAACCAGTCACTAACGGCTCCTGTCCTTCGGTTGTCATTCATACGCATTACGTGTCCGTCCCACCTCATCTTCGAATGTTTGGCGTTCAGAACGGCATCTTTGATTTTTGATCGTTGACGCAGATCGGAGCTTCGGAACCCATCTCTTACTTGTGTGGAACGGGATACTCCTAGCATCGTCCTATCGACTATGCGTTCGATAACGCTGAGCGATCTTTCATTCTGCTTACGCATCGACCAGGTTTCTGACGCATAGACTAACGCAGGAAGTACCGTTGAGTCGAAAAGGTGGGCACGGAGTCGGGTGTTCTTTGTTCTTTTCACTACATCTTCGATGCTCTTATAAGCTCCCCAAGCCGCTCGTTTCCTTCTGCTCGGCTCTGGAGTTAGGTCGTTCATCATACTGATTTCTCGACCTAAATAGATGTAACTGGAGCATTCGGAGATATTCGTTTCGTTGAGTGTGAATGGGGCATGCGAAACCAATCCGTTCTTCATGAACATCGTTTTTGTGAGATTTAGTCGAAGACCAATCTTTCCACAGGCTTTATCAAAGTCGTCAAGCATACGTTCCGCTTGGATAATGTTTCGTGTTAGAAGGACGATGACATCAACAAAGCGAAGATGGTGCAACTGCCGACCATCGATTTTCCCCCGTTGTCCTATTCCAATGTTCGCATGACGTTCTGGAGGGTGGCGGTAAATAATTTTGGTGAGATGGTATCGCCTTGCCTAACCCCTCTTTCGACATCAATGTTAATATCATTGTAGAATGGTGATATCTTGGCTGTGAAATTTTTGTACAGCTCACGAAGAATCTTTATGTACTGAGTAGGGACTATCAAGAGCTTTCAAGAATGCTTCTATCACAACTGAATCAAAAGCTTTCTGTAAATCGATGAAAGTGAGACAGAGCGGTCTTTTGTACTCTCGCGATACTACAATGAGCCTTGTTACCGTGCGGATGCAGTCCATTGTATTAAATCCTTTTCGAAACCCTGCTTGCTCACATGGCTGTCCTTCGTCTAGTGTTCTGTTAATCCTGTTCAGGATGACTCAAGTGAAAAGTTAGTAGACGACAGAGAGTAAGCAGATTGAGCGGTAGTTGTCGATATCGTGTAGGACACCCTTCTTGAACAATAACACGGTCTTGCTGGTGTTCCACTGAGTAGGGACCTTGCATTCAGACAGGTAACGTTTGAGGATCCGAGCCGGTATGTTTACGAGGACTGGCGGAAGGTTCTTCATGTGTTATGGTCTTATCCTGTCCGGACCTAGTGCTGTTCGATTTTTCACGAAATGGCATTGTCGGACTTCGGAAGGGAGAACCGGTGGTACAACATATCCATCCTCCTTTATATCATATGACGGAAGGTTGGCGTGGCTATCGAAGAGATCCGAGTAGTATTCGTGAATGATTTTCTCCATTGCCTTTCTGGAGGCTGTAACTGTTCCGTCTGGGCGCCGGAGTGCAATCATTTTGGTCTTATAATTAGCGAAGCTTCGGTGGGCTTTGCGAATGCTTTTCCCAGCCTCTGCAGCTTCTATCACTACTGCTGCTCTTCTCTCTTTGAGATCTTCTTTTATCTCCTGTCTGCATTGTTTTGCAAGTTCGGACGTTAGATCGCGGTTGCCTGCAGCTCGTGCGATTCCACGCTGGCGTATCAGCTCGACTGTTTCTGGAGACAGACGTCTCTTCGTGTCTTTCGAACTCTCAGCTTTCATAGCGCTAACGTAAAGATGTTAAATGAGCCAATCGCATTCTTCGTCGATGTTATCGACGGCGGTATCGTCCCAACAACCGACTAATGAATTGAATAAGTCCTAGTTTCCTGTAGTTCTGGGACTTCGGTTTTGGAATTTAGCGGCTTTTTCTCCTTTCCGCGAGAAGTAGAATCTTGCACGAAGGAGGCGATGGTCTGATCCCGTGTAGAATTTTGAGACAACTGCGACATCGATTAGGTAAAACCTTCAGTTTACTGTGATGTGGTCTACATCGTTATGGTACTCTTCACTGGGAAGGCTCCCATGTCCAGCGTTGAGGGTGGGGCTTCTGTAATTGTCAGTTACCATGGATGATCTTGCTCGTCATGATAAACTCAGAGAGCCGCTCACTCTGTTCGTTCCATTCTAATCCGTGGGTCCCAATGTGACGTTCATCAGACGTTCTTCTTGGTCCAATCTTGGCGTTGAAATCTCCAATAATCCCTCTTGACCTTGAAGAATGTTTGGTCTACTCTGTAGAACTTCTCCAACTCCATATAGAACGCTTCGACTTCTTGCTCGTCATAGCTTGATGTCGGCACGTAAACAACGAAGATTGTCAAAGCCGGGATTGATCCACATCTTTTTAATCGCAAACGTCCGATTCGGGTTGTAAGTTGTTCGAATGAATCGACGTTCATTAGCAAACTAAAGTTGACGAGAACGCCGATGCCACCGATACCTCTACTATCGCATGTTCCGAGGAAAAGTTCTTCTCCGGTGCCATAGACGTTGTTGAATGGGCGGCGTCGTCTCATCTCGGCCAGGCCGATGAGGTCGTACCTTATCCTTCTCGATTACATGAGCAAGTTTTCTATCGAGGACTCGGATGCAAGTGCACGTGCATTGTAGGTACAGATCGTCCTTAGTTCTTTTCAATCCAGGCAGCTTCCATTGGTCCTGAGATTTACCAGCCTCTCTGCACTCGTCCTACCCAACGCTGCGAAATTGGGGGCTCTTTCGGGGTCAGGAGAATGAGGCCCGCTTTTTTCACTGTGTTTAGCATTTTTGATACCCACATATAGCTTGCTGGGCTTGATCGTGGGAGCAGTGTACACTCATGGGTAGCTTGCCATTCTCTCCCAGAGTGGATACGGAGTTTATTTGTTAGAGGCGACTCCTAACCGCCTTCCATATCCGTCCCAGTCACTTGATTGCAGGCTTTTTGGCCGAATTGACTCGTAGAATACAACTCGCATAAGAAAGAACGCACCCACACACGCATGCATGAATACGCCTAGCACATATAGAAAGCATGTGCCAAATCAGCGCAACAGAAACAGGTAGTCCATCTCCTTGATCCACCTGCGTCTCAGGAAAGGAAAGGTCGCTTTTCGTCCGCGATAAACCCCGC